CTTAGACCCACTCGGGCCTGACGTAGGCTCAATCTCACAGTCCTCGCACATCATTATCCTCCCACGGCCAACCACATTTAGACCCATCGTATTTTGATGCGCCCATGCGCGGCAGTAGGCCGACCGATATGAAGCAGGCGTAGCAGCACGGCACCCCAAAGACGTGCCGCCTGGGAATGGCCGTTTGGTAGAACGCACCCCTAGGCTTTGACAGACGCGCGCGCGAATGCGTGGTTCTTGGGCGCCCCGAGGAACAACCGCCAGGGGGCCGGACACGTGTCTGGCGCGATCTCATCGTGAGGACGTTCCAGGCTGTTTGGCGAAACATAAAGTTCTAGTTTGAGAGACGCATGATCAGAGCTGCATAGCAAGGGTGCCACATGGGCACCCCAAAAAGGAGCCGCCAGACAGGAACGCACTTGCACGTTCGGGCCCCAGATTGCGCGCGGGACTTACTCTTCTCTCTTGAGAGCCGTATGGTCGTCGCGACAAGGCAGGCGTGGCATTTGGTCAACCCAACATGGGCCGTGCCTTTTCGCGCCCGCAGTGCGGTGGGTGTCTCAACCGGTTTGCGCGCTTCTTGGGTCAGATCTTTCACCCCAAGGACAAAACGTTTGGACGTGTGATGTTTACCCCCTCGAGCGAATGTCGCGGGGACGTGTTCGGCGGTTTGCTCGTTTTACCTGGGCACCCCAAAGGGTATCTGCTAGAGAACGCTCAGTCGCCACAGGCTAATACGTCCCCACGCAAACATGCACAGCGAGACGTGCCCAGAAAAGATGTGCGCGCGTGGGGTTTTGGTTGGTTGGTTGGTTGGTTAGTCAGTTGGTTGGTTGGTCTGGTCCGCTCTGCACTCCCTGGGTTGCTCGGCTATTCGGCGCGGGGCCGAGTTGCAACAGGGGTTGGTTTCCAGCAGGGCGTTGCGGCCCCCACATCTCATGCGGCCCATACTGGTGATATGGGCGATCTGAATGGTGCGGCCCTTGCGGCTTACGGACTGCATCGGGCCCATGTGGAGCATTCCGTTTCCGCCCGCGGAATAAGTAGCCGTCCGCGCCCAGGTGTCGCCCGTGTCGCTGCACACCCTGCGCTTTGCAGAAACCGCAGCGACAAGGGCGCCACCAGCACGCGAAAAACGATTCTTTGTGCTTTGCACGGGGGTTGTTTCGCTTTCTGGCCAAGCGGCGCCATGCGATATGCTCGCACAAGAAAATGTTTTGCTCAGGTTCCCGGCAATCGTATGGGAGTCCGGCCAGAATAGTATTATGTGTTCTCACTGTTGGTTTTCGAGCTGTTGCGTAGTTCCGAGCAGCCACCGAGTTGAACACATCCATCTGTGTGGCCGGGAGCGCTTGTTACTTGTAACGTTGCGCGCCAAACAGAAGATGTCCACCAGGGCGGCAAGTATGTATCGTCGCGCGTGCCGTAGAGCGATCCAAGAGCGTGGCACTGTCCCAAGAGTGTGGTCTACGAGCGCGGCGCCTCGTTTCCCAATGAACATGTGGCGCGCTTTCTCCCCAAACGATTCGCCGCAGGCTGGACCATAATTCCGTCCGCGCCTGGTGGTGGGTCCCAGCATGTGTGGGTGGGTTGGCACCCCCCTGGATGGCAGAATTTGGAAAACCAATGTTATGCTGCGCCCGCAGCCGCTACTCATGAGCATTCTTCGGGATTGTTCGGGGTTTGGGAGATGCGCCGCGAGGCTCGGTGCAGTCAGGCGGTTGACAGGCAGGGGGGGTGTAATGGTGATGAAGATTCACAGCGTGTCGTTGGCAACAGCCGAACGAATGCCATCATGGAGAACCAGCCAGTAGTTTGAAGGCCACAGTGAAACGTTGCATGCACGCGGCATCTTGGTTTGTGTAACTGGTGCATTCGTGGCCCAGTTTCGTCGAAGACGCCACCTGCGACTCACCGATCCCCTTGCATGTTTTGCAAAGCTTGGCCAACGGTTGTGCCAAAGTTTGGCCAGGCCTTTCGCCTTGTGAACTACTCAGCTGATGGGCAAACAACCGGGGAAGAGCGTCCAGGACGACCCACGAGCTGTATGAGGCTGCCGCATCATAGCACCCAGCGTTCTCAAGAGTCTCCATGAGCGGCCTTCAATCAATGGGGGCCCCAATATGGACCCACAAGGGGGTCCGCAACGGGACCACAGGAAGCCTCCCCAAGATTACCCCACGAAATCCCGATCACCAGCGAGATGCCCCAGAGGGGCTCCAAGAGGGCTCCAGGAGCCCACGCCAAGCTAGTCCCGATACTATCAGAGACCGTCACAACACTTTTGGATACGCTTGCCTTCCCTATTTTGCCAGTTGGGAACCTCAAGAACCGCCCAAGAGACTCCCGAGTGGCAGAATGGACTCCGCACATGCCCCCCAAAAAAGTACCGCGTAATGGTGCCCGTTGTTGCGTTTGGTGCGCCCCTTGTGGTTGGTGCATATGCTGGGCCTAGTGTGTTCAGTGCTCTCGGTGCGTGGGTTGCGTCTTGCTCCTTGAGTGCTTTGCGTGCGCGGTGTCAGATCGAGGCCCATGTTGCCCGTAGCGCTGGCCGATTCGACCCGCACCCATCAGGAGCCTTGAGGACTCCCCAGCGAGCTCACGTCACGGGTCATTTGAAGCCTTCCCACGACGACCCGACATCACACCAGTACCGCCCCAGCATTTGTTCATCGACCAAAGCCACAAAGTGTCGGAGGACACGTGATGTGGTATCTACTGTAAGTATGGTTCGCTTGTAGCGCCAAGCAACGGCATGCCTAGGAGGCACGAAGTCGAGCCAGTCGCAACGCGTTGCTGTGAAAGCGGGAAGGGGGCGTGGCAACGACAACCATGCTAAAGCATTGTGGTGCTGGCATCGTGGTGCTATTATTCATGGTACCATCCGATTATGGCATTTGGTATGTTTGTGGTGGTGTCTGCTGAGGTTGTGCAACTGCCCTGCGCGCTGCGCAAGCCCAGCATGTAAAAGATTCGCGGCCCTCGGCCCTTTTGCACGCCCTGCTGGCGGCGGCCCGCCCCTGATCACGAATGCCGCGACCTTAGCTGGCGGCATCAGTTAACTCGCAAACAACTCAATTCTGCAATTCGGCTCCCCCATCCCGCAAGGACAGGCGCGGACGGGGCGGGCGGGCGGGCGCGTGGCTGATTCGTCCCTCACGCGTGTCTGAGGCCACCCACGCACTCCTCATGGTTCGGACCCTCTACGCATGGGGCCTCCCTTCGGTAGCAAATCATGGGAACCTTCTCTACCCTCGCAATTCCGTCTTTCTTTTCTATTGGTGCATTAGCGTCGACTAGTGTCTGGTAGTCGATGAGATACATCTGATTTAGCGTCGCGAAGCGTCGATTAGCGTCCACATAGCGTCGATGAACAGTCGACTAGCGTTGATTAGAGTCTCTTTGCAAGAGCCAAGGAGATGGTATGGGAGGCCCCCGTGAATCGCCACGGGACCCCTCCCTGCGCGGCCGCCTTCTTCTTTTCCTCTTGCCTGGTGTGCCCTAGCAGCGCGCGGGGCCCGCCATCTGTCGACCGCGTTGGCGCTCTCCTTGGCTGCCGACCCCAGAAAAGTGCGGCGCCAGCACCAGGCTGTGCGCATCGGACGAGCTGCCCGCTATTGTTCGCTCCTGCTGATCGGTGCAGTCGATTGGCATCCAGAGACCGTGCGCCCGCACGTGATGTGCGAGTGGATGGCGCGACTGAACCGGGCGCCACGAGAGCTACAGGCACGGCAGATCCGGTAGGAACCCATGCACGGGATTTCTGCACGTGCTCGAAATTCGGTGTTTAGCGTGCATTAGCGTGCGCTAGCGTCTGGTAATCGATGGGAAAGCGCCGATACAGCATCGATTAGCGTAGAATCAGCGTCGACCGTCGTCGATCAGCGTCGGCTGGCGCCGATTCGCAAGAGTCATCGGGATCGCATGGGAGGCTCCGTGAGTTGCAGCAGACCGGCACGTGGGCACTTGCACCAAGGGTTCTACGGTTGTGGTGTGTCGCCGGGCCGCCGAGGGAGACGAATCTGTATCAACATAGTGCCTCTCCCTCGTTTTTGTTCCGCCATTTTGGGGTTCCTAGGCTAGGGGGCCACATGTGAACCCTACCCCTACCCCCCACGATTTCTGAAGAGGAGGGTTCACATGCGGGGGGTAGGGATATGGTTCACATGTGGCCCCCTATAGGCTGCCCTCGTCGTCTCGGCCGGAGTCGCACCAGAATTCCGGTCAGAGCGCGCCCCAGGACAGATCATGGGAGTTGCGGCATTTGGATTCTCTCATTCTTCCAGGGTCTCAAGAAAGCCGCCGCACCCAAAGTGGCGCCTTCCTTGAAGCCTTTCGCGGTTGATGTTTGAACTCCGTCTCCTCCGCCTCTGCCTCCTCTGTGTCCTCTGTCTCTGGCGCCCCCTCCTCCTCTTCATTCTTGCACTCGCAATGGGGATCTCAATGCTCAATGCTCCTCCTCCTCCTCCTCCTCCTCTTGAGTCCGTAGCCAGTTTGGCTCGAGGAAGTGATGTCGGCTCAAGCCACAACTCACCAGCGAACCCCGCGCGGCCTATACATCAATGAGCCCGCGCCGAGATGTCACGCGGTCTGGTCACGCTGCTCTTGACCTGGATCACGGGCTCCGCATCCGCGGGCAAACCGAGCGGGTCGGCCAAGGGCTCCTTCACGGTGACGCCCGGACAGAAGTCCGGCCTGCGCGGCAGCGGGCCGCGCGAGCTGACGAGCATCCCATTCTCTCTGCGGGATGCTGGAGGCAGGGACTTGGTCGAAGAGGCTGCGGCGCTTCGCCAGTCTGGACGCGGACGGCGCCTCATGGCCGAGTTGAGCCCAGCCGTTTCGCTGGAGATGAGCTTCACCTCCAACAACGAGAAGTACAACCTGCAGCTGGAGCGCGTGAGGTCGCCCTTCACCAAAATCGGCGAGGATCATCAATGGCAGGGGCGAGACGATGCTGGGGCAGTGTGTGACCGAGCAGCCCGTCTTCCGCAGCGCGGGGCATGGCGCCGTGCTCTCTCTCACCCGTGGAGGGCGTGCTCCGAGGCCTTGTGAGGATGAACGGGAGCCTCGTGGACGTGGAGGCGGACCCTGCCACTGGCAGGATGTCGACGAGCTTGCAGGTGCACGCCCCACGCGTTTCCGAGAGGAATATGAACGAGGGAGACGGATTGACGTCGGCCGGCGCGACGGAAAGAATCTTCGACCCAGAGGCCGTCCACAGGTGGACAGACTGCTACGAAGACGATCACGTCAAGCGTCAATTCTCCATGGGTGCCTCCCTTTGCGACAACGGGGCGGCATCATTCACTGACGCCGAGGAGGCCACGGAATGGACGCAGAGCATTTTCGCAATGACGAACATGGTCTATGAACCCCAGCTCAACATCGCGTTAATGATCGACGCGGTCTACATCCCAGCGTATGTCTCAGAGTCCACGGACTAGGCCAGTTGCGCCAGTGGTATCAGTCAGGAGCTGGATGATGCGATTGCCTGGTCGCAGCCGTCCAGGCAGGGCTTGTGGCATGTGTTTGACGACTGCTTCACAACTGGTCAGGCTGGCACCGTCGACCTGGCGGTCTTGGGGGGACACTTGGAATGGGTTCTGTGCGATGGACCCGTGGAATGGGCAGACGACCAATGTCGGTGTCATATACATGACTTCCAGCACCTGGCTGACGTTTGCTCACGAGGTTGGCCACAACATCGGGGCCAACCACGCATTCGAGAACGGGCAGTGTACGACGGGCGGAATCATGGATTACGGAGATGGCAGGTATGAGGGCATCTTCCAGTTCAACACGGAATCTACCAAGGAACCAAGGACGACTTTTGTCCCGTTGTCTTAGCTCCTGTCGATTCGGGCTGCGATGCCCTCACGTACTACGACGCTGTGCGCGGGGGGGGCCCTGTCGTGCAGCTTCTGCAATAACTGCGTCCTCGACCCAGGAAAGGACTGCACCACGTCTGCGCCCGTCGGCGCCGACTGCTGCAACTGCGACGGCACCTTCAAGTCCAGCAAGGAAACATTTTTTGATTCGTGGGTCGAGAGCGCACCTCTTCCGGTCGAAGCTAAGCGGGCCGCGCAGAGCTTGAATTACGCAGAGAAGGGGAAGGAGAAGGGGGGCGCAGCCTCAGAGAGTCTGGACTGGCGCCACTGGTTACTGCGACCGGGGAACGTGCGAGCGCGTCTGGTGCACGGGAGGGTTTTGTTTCGCCTCCAATTTCATAATGAACGACGTCTGCGGCCTGCACGCGAACAACGACTGCAAGATCAACTGCGATCTCCAAGGGACTGGGTGTACACCCATGTGGGGGTACAAGGGAAGTGTGGGGCAAGACGGGGTGCTGAACCAGCTTGACGACGGAACGCCTTGCGAGTCGGGTCAGGGGGTGTGCATAAGCGGCACCTGCGTCGGCAACAACGTCCCGGCGCCAACGCCGACGGGGTGTACGATGTCGATTGTCGGCAACACTTGTGACACGTATTGGGAATTGTACGGATGGATTTGTGCGACTAGGGAGAATTTTGGCTGGGACTGCTCTGGGTGCAACTACGCTGGTGACACTTGGTTTGATCCGGTGCCAACGGTCGAATGCAGTCCGACGCCAGCCCCACCTCAGACTCCACCTGTGACTCCATCTCCGACTCCACCAATGACTCCAGCTCCAACCGTGCCGACAGTCGAGCCGACTCCAGTGCCAACTGCACCGCCGACTCTAGCTCCCACTCCAGCGCCGTCTCCAGCGCCCACTCCGAACTTGCCATTCTGCGTTGGAGCATCTGCGGATCTCTTTGTAAACGCCTGTTACTCTGATGAGCCCGACGGATGCACCACGTATGCAAGTGACTGGCCAGGCCCCGACAGTGTGGCGGTTGGCCAGAGCTATTCTTATTGCGATGACGACGTCAATATTTTTTATGGAGTCGATTACCTAGCAGCTTAGATCTGCGCAGAGTGCGACCAGTGCCGGGATCAGCCACCAACGCCGCCTCCGCCACCAACGCCAGTGCCCATTCCGAACTTGCCATTCTGCGTTGGAGCATATGCGGATCTATTTGTAAACGCCTGTTACTCGGATGAGCCCGACGGATGCACCACGTATGCAAGTGACTGGCCAGGCCCCGACGGTGTGACGATGGGCGGGAGCTATTCTTATTGCGATGACGACACGAATACTTGTTGATGGAGCCGAAGATACAGCAGTTGAGATTTGCGCAGAGTGCGACCACTGCTGGGATCAGCCACCAACACCGCCTCCGACATACTCGCCGCCTCCGACGCCAGCCCCGACTTTGGCTCCGACTTTGGCTCCGACGCTGGCGCCGACATCACCGCCAGCGCCGACGCCGCCGCCGTTGTGCAGGGATTGGTGCGATACAGATTCGGACCCGTCCCAGTGCGACTGGGGCGCTTGCAACGGCTGCTCTGCGTGCATTCCGCCGACTCCAGCGCCAACGACTCCAGCGCCGCAGCCGACTGCAGCAGCTACGCCGGCGCCCACCTCTCCCCCCACATCACCTACGCCAGCACCTACGCCAGCACCGCTTCAGACGCCAGCACCTACGCCAGAAGCTACGCCAGCACCTACGCCAGCACCTACGGCAGCACCGCTTCAGACGTCAGCACCTACGACAGCACCTACTCCAGCACCTACGCCAGAACCTACGCCAGCACCTACGGCAGCACCTACGGCAGCACCGCTTCAGACTTCAGCACCTACGCAAGAACCTACGCGAGCACCTATGCCAGCACCGCCTCCGACGTCAGCACTAACGCCAGTGCCAACGGCTGAACCCGTCTACGCCATGATCTTCAGTGTAGGAAAGTGCAAAGGGACCGGGACCACGACCATGGCGGGCAGCATCGAGGAATGTGCCATCTTGTGCGACGCACAAGTGGATTGCCTCTTGCTGAGCTAGTATGTTGGTTCTGGGGGCTGTAAGCTCTCTCAGGACTGTGACGACGTCGCTTCAGACCCGAGCTACAGCGTTTACCAGATTGGCGCAACCCCGGCTCCAACTGCGGCATCAACGCCATTGACCTGGGGCATCTACGCTACTGGAAAATGCAAGGGTGCCGCGACGTCGGACCTTACTGGACTGACCGTCGCGGAGTGCGGCAGTTTGCGCGGGCAGTCGAAAAGGTTGCATGTTCTTCAGCCACTCCTCCACGGAAGGCAATGTGCATCCTGGCTGTGCCGACGTGAAACCATACCTAACGGACTCCACAATCTACCAGCTGTATCTAAACTATGGCGCCCACCTTCGCGCCAGGGGTCCCAACGCATGCGCCCTCCCCGGTGACGTATGGGATCTAGGACACAGGAAAGTGCAAGGGCCTTGGCACGACGGACATATCGGGACTGACAGTCGAGCAGTGCGGTAGCCTGTGCGCGCAGTCGAGTGGTTGCATGTTCTTCAGCCACTCTGCGACGGAGTGCAAGCTGAGTGTTAACTGTGGCAGCATCAACTTGTTCGAGACGGACTTACAATCTACCACTTGGCGTTGACCCTGGCGCCCATCTGCGCGCCAGGGGTCCCAACACCTGCGCCCACCCCGGTGATTTATGGGATCTAGGACACAGGAAAGTGCAAGGGCCTTGGCACGACGGACATATCCGGACTGACCGTCGAGCAGTGCGGTAGCCTGCGCGCGCAGTCGAGTTGTTGCATGTTCTTCAGCTACTCCGAGACGGATTGCAAGTTGAGTGACACTTGTGACGGCATCAACACGTTCGAGACGAACTTCACAAACTACCACTTGGCGTTGACCCTGGCGCCCACCTTCGCGCCAGGGGTCCCAACACCTGCGCCCACTCCGGTGACGTATGGGATCTACGACACAGGAAAGTGCAAGGGCCTTGGCACAACGGGCATATCCGGACTGACCGTCGAGCAGTGCGGTAGCCTGTGCGCGGATTCGAGTGGTTGCATGTTCTTCAGCTACTCCGCGACGGAGGGCAAGTTGAGTGACACTTGTGACGGCATCAACTTGTTCGAGACGAACTTCACAAACTACCACTTGGCGTTGACCCTGGCGCCACCCTTCGCGCCAGGGGTCCCAACGCATGCGCCCACTCCGGTGACGTATGGGATCTAGGACACAGGAAAGTGCAAGGGCCTTGGCACGACAGACATATCCGGACTGACCGTCGAGCAGTGCGGTAGCCTGTGCGCGCAGTCGAGTGGTTGCATGTTCTTCAGCCACTCTGCGACGGAGTGCAAGCTGAGTGACACTTGTGACGGCATCAACTCGTTCGAGATGGACTTCACAATCTACCACTTGGCGTTGACCGTAGCGCCCATCTTCGTGCCAGAGGTCCCGAGACATGCGCCCACCCCGCTGGTCTACACGCTGTGGAATGCGGTCGAGATATGCAAAGGAACTCCACTGGCATTTCCCACCGCAGCGGACCTCCAGGCCTGCGGGGTCGCCTGCTTGGCTCAGTTGGGCTGCGCGTTCTTCAGCTTCTCGAGCAGCTCCAGAGGCTGCCAGCTCACCTCGTCGTGCGACAGGATCAGGTGGATGACAGACTGCGTGATCTACGAGCTGGGCGCGCGGTGAGTCTTTGTTTGAGCTCGGCGCTTCCGCAGCAGTATCCATTCAACCTGAAGCAGCCCATGCGGCTCAGCAACATTTCGCAGTTCATAAACGCTGATGTGATCTACCTGCTGCGGGCCCCGCCTTCGGCAGAGCTTACGCCAGCCCGCACGCGCCCCGTCGGCGCGCGCGACGTGGTGGCGCGTTGCCGGGCACGCCGGCCGTCCTGTATCCACCATTCAGATGCAACTCCTGGGAGGTCAAATTCTGTTTTCGCCCTGGTCCGAAATTCGGTTTAATCCAGCTAAATCCCGCTTAATCCCGCTTAATCCCGTTTAATCCAGCTTAATCCCGCTTAATCCGAGGCCCATTCCGGCGTAACAGCTCCCAAATGGGGCTTAATCCTCCTTAGTCTTTCCGACGAAAACCTCCCAGCAGTTGCCTCCTAACCACCAGGACTTCTCCGCCCGAGGTTCCGTTTGTACCTCCCAGGGTGGACGGGCCACAGCGGCCAGCGTGGCTGGGGCGTCTCCCACATGTCTGTCTCTGCGGGTGCTAACATGATGCGACGGCCCGGACGAGAGGTCTTGCCTTGCCGTTTTTTGAGGCCGTTGTTGGCTGTTCCTTACCCCGCGTCGGTTTGGGAGGTTGCCGCGGCGATCGCGGCGGCCACAAGTCAGGGCAAAGTTTGTTGGCAAGAAAATGCAAAGGCGATTAGTAATATCGACTCGATCTTCTTCTCCTGCACGGTGCTCAGCGCCGACAGCTAGCTGCTTGGCGTGGCCATGACGCGAATCTTCTCGCATGCATCGAGGCTTGTCCGCACCGTCTGCAGTCTGCACGGTGCGGGCCGAATTGTCGTTCCTCATGCCGCGGGGCTCCGGGGCGGCGAATTCTTGGCTCCTCCCTCCCCTCCTCCTCTTCTTCCTCCTCCTTTCCTCCCCCCTCTCCCTCTTTCTCCCCGGCCGCCATGAGTTCCCGAGTGGTCCCCCCCAGAAGTGGGGTACTGCCGCTGGCCCATCGCAAGTCATTTCGACGCGTGCCTCTAGATGTGTTGAGTACACGAAAGGCACCATGTTTAGACGACGGCAATCATAGAAGATATGCCATCCTACCATCGTATGGGGCGATGTGGGGCGACCGTGGATGGGGAGCCAGGAATGCATCTCTCTCTCTCTCTCTCTCTATGTATGTGTATATATAGATCTCTCTCTCTCTCTCTTTGAAGTCCCCGTCCTTGTTAGAAGACCTCCCCGTGGAGGCTGCCGCTGCTACGTATCCTTTGGGATCTGCTGGAGGCGTCCCGCTGCATTCTTGCGGACCGCCGCTCCTCCTCCTCCTCTTGAGTGTCTCCTTCGTTTGGCATGTCTTGACTATTGCCACACAGCGGTGGCGCAAGGAGCCGAATTCGAGATGCCCCCTGCCAGAGTGAGCTCGTGGACGGCCCAGGTTTCTCAGAGGAGCAGGGGCATCACATCCTCCATGAGTTACATATTGCTAAGGCCTTACGGCCAGTGCCGCCGACCCTGGATACCTCGGCCCTCGAGGGTGACGGGATGCGTGATAAGATGTCGGAGGTAAATGAAGACGTGGCGGAGGAGGAGGCGGAGGCGGAGGAGGAGGAGGAAGGGGAGGAGGAGGAGGAGGAGGAGGAGGACGAGGAGGACGAGGAGGACGAAGAGGAGGAGGAGGAGAAGGAGGAGGATGCCCTGGTCCGTTTGGCATGCCAGTGCCGCCGCCGCCGCAGCAGGTTATCGGCAACGGCGTGCCGCCTGCCACGAAGGGCCTAGGCAAGGGCTTCGGCGCCCAGCTACCGCCGCCGCCACCGCCTGCAGCCCAGCAGGCCCAGCTGATTCAACAGGACGCCTTCCAAGCTCAGATCATGGCTATGATGCAGCACTTTCAGTCGATGATGGTGGCCTCAGCTCAGCAGCAGGATGCCAGCGTAGCCCAGATCGGGTTAGCCATCACGGAGATCAAGAACAAGGTGCCGACCAGTCCCAGTTCGTCTTCGAGTGCGGGGTTTACAGGGCGGGAGGGAGCTGGCGCACCGCCCCACCCAGCCTCGCCAGGAGGTGCGCCTTCCCCGCCGACGCCTGCCGTCACGCCCACGCCAGTCGCGGTGACACCGAGGCCCGTTTCGAGGGAAACGACGCCGCCACCTCATGGGCGCCAGCCTCCATCGCCGACACCACCGAACAAACAGCCCTCGCCCGCCATGCATTGCCCGTGAGTCGAGGATGCTTGTGGTCCGTGCCCGACCCCAGTCACAGGCAGCCATCTGGATACACCAGCAGCCAAGGCACAGATAACGGAGGAGTTCAAGATGGAGGTCAAGTTCGAGGACCCCTACAGCCAGGCCGCCCAAGTCCCCCACCTGGGGCCGATCTCGCCGACCCAGCCGATTCATTTGGGGGACCCGCAACAGGAAGACAGCTCAGTGACAGCCCCCGTGCATTCGGCCACGGATCAGCCCAGCGACGCGTACGATTCGCAGCAGTCGCAGATGACAGCCTCCCAAATACCCGAGACAATTCGCAAGACAGACTCAGCCCACGGGATTCCAGTGACAGGCCCAGAAGTAGCAGCGCCTGCATGTCAGTCCGACGCTGTGCCCAGCCCCCCTCGCAAGTTGGCGAAGGGAGAGCAGATAGCTTAGTCGTGCCTGGCCAAAGCCAGGATCGCTTGCAGGCCATGGCTCGTGCAAGCGCGCTCAAGCCTCTACCCCAACCCGTTCATCTCTATCGGTCGTACAGAATCGCCCAACTCTGTTCATGCATCTCCTCTCCTCCTCGATACGGAAATCTGGATTTTGTAATTTTCATGAGCGAGCAAACCATATGACGAATTTGTACGTGTGCCCTTTTTTAAAGCTGCACGCGCCAGTTCCAGTCACAGTTGTCTCTGACAGTCGAAATTCAGGTGAAGACAGTCATGCAAGACAGCAGCGCCTCAATTCCTCGACTTCCTAGGGGACTAAGGAGGGGGAGGGTGGGAACATAGGCCGCTGTGCTGCCAGCTGCAGCATCTCGAGCCCAGTCTCGGGGCCTAGACAGCGTGGACCCCATGGGAGCGAAGGGGTGTGGCAGCTAGTGCTTTTATTCGTTCTGACCGCCGGCCAGACAGAGTCCGTGTCAGACCTATGGCCCTTGCTAGATTGCAGTTCTCTCGACGGTCTGGGTACAGACACTCGTGCCCTGCAAGTTCTGCCTCAATTTTGAGCCTGCCGCCTTCGAGAGGATCGAGAGGGAATTTCAGGTGGGTTAGGGAGGGCAGGGGGTTACATGCGATTCGAGCCGCACCACGGCCTACCTGTGCGCCGGCTGTGGGTAACCATTCTAGCTGCACGGTGTCCACGACCACCGACTCATCGAGACGAAGGTCTTTTGAGCCTCTCGAACTACTGCTCTTTGCCGAGCTGACGCTCACTATCACCTTGCCAGCCAGCACGGTTACGGAAAGGCTGCTCAGTCTTGACGTCAGTGGCCTTGTTAATTGTACAGCAGTTACAGGTATGCCGCATCCATTTGCTTATACAGCCTTCGGTCGAATTTGCAATTACGAGCCTCCAACCTCTAGCGACAGCTTCGCCGCACTTTGCGCGGCCCAGCAGCTTTGCAACTCTATGTATGTATCCTGTTGATTGTTGTTTTACTTTCATGTTTGTGTGTTGTGCCGACCTTTCTCTAGTAATCACACATTGTCGGGTATCCGAGGCTCTCCCAGCATCGCAGCCAGATTGCCCGCCTGGACCTGGGCACCCCGAGGTGTCGTTGGACCAGCCCGCCCCCTGCACTCGGACATGCCTACATGGAGTCCCTCGGTGATCGAGATGCTGGGTCTTGCTTCCTTTCCTGCACGTGATTAGGATACCCCCCCACTTGGTTGGACTCCCCCGAGGACCCCTTTTGGCACTGGAGCTGCGCCCCCCGCATCTTCTCAGACGGCCCAGCCAAAGATGCCGACGATGAGATCGCGGCATGGGCCTTTATCCTGTTCATGGAAGACCCCCAGGGATATGCGCGCGCAGGAAGGTACGCAGGCAAGGTTATGCACACCTGCAAGGCTGTGCCGACCCACAGCTCTACCAGTGCTGGTTTAGAGTCTGCTATCATTATCTCGCCTATCCTTCTCATGCTCTATTTGTCCTCATTGCTTCCTGTGCACATTGCATCGGATTCGCGCAATGAAGTGCGAGCGTTGAAGGGCCCCTCAGCCCCGCCGAGAGAGGACCCACTTGCCAAAGTGAGTTGCCCCCTCTGGCTCGTTCTCTGCCAGCGCAGATTTGCCGCCACCTCCCAGGTTAAAGGGCACTCTGGCCACCCTTGGTGTTCTGCGGACTTTTTTCTGGGCGTGGATTGTGCGTGGGTTTTCCCGCTTCGCTCGGCGCGCGCCGAGGCCTTCCCTGGGCGGGGAAATGTGATTCAAACGCCTCTGCCATCGTGTGTGGCTGTGGACTGCCATGATAATGGCCTGGCCTCGTGTAAAAAAAGCCTCAGGGGCCCATGTCTCCCCCACCGCCGTGCAAGCAGGGGCCAGAACCATGCTTGCGGCCAGCAAGCCTCCTGAGGCTCACTTGCCCTCGGCCCACTTGCTCGCGATCGTTCGGGGGTCCCAGCGAGGGGCATGTCTGCAGGTCCGCGCGGCCAAGGGGCATGTCATGCCTGGGGGAGGGGCCCGTCCTGGAACGATTTTAGCCACCGGGTTTTTCAACGTGGTTTTCAGGGCAGTGTTGCTCAAACTGAGGGCCGCCATTCTTCGTCTCTCAGCGTCAGTGAGGGAAGCTTTTGACCAACCCGAGCTAATAGGTGCGACACATGGCGACTGGGACAATGCCCAGCCTGATTTGCCGTCTGCTGACGTTTTGTCCGCGACCCTGTTTGTCAAACACGTTATGGGCGTGCCGACAGTTGCGCTTTCTTGGGTTGAAGACGTGTTCGTCTCCTGTTCACCCCCTGGGCTGCGCCCGAGCTCCGCAAAGACAAATGATTTATTCTGCTTGCGGGGCAAGGGCTCGGTCACCT